TAGACCCACCCCTGGAGCACCTGTAGGTAGTAGACCCACCCCTGGAGCACCTGTAGGTCATAGCCCCCACCCCTGGAGCACCCGTAGGTCATAGCCCCCACCCCTGGAGCACCTGTAGGTAGTAGACCCACCCCTGGAGCACCTGTAGGTAGTAGACCCACCCCTGGAGCACCTGTAGGTAGTAGTCCACATGGATGAGGCTGCAGCCTGGAAGCACAGACTGAGGTAGCGCTGGGACCAGGATCTGCTCTTGCCACTCGGAGTGCCTCCAGGCCTTGGCCCCTGCACCCTGCACCTCCACGACTGTCCGCACATCGTAGGTCCAGCGCCTGGCCTTGTAGGACACTTTCTGGAAAAGGCCTGCCTATGAGCGTACAGGGTTACCAGGGACCTCCCACCTGTTCACAAGTCAACCCAGGGTGGCAAATTCAGGCTCAGACCTGCAGTAGAGTGGCCACCACAGGGCCAGTGTCCTTGCCCGACTGGTTCTCAATATTGACCTGCAGCTGCAGCACCTGGCCCACCACGTAGCCTCGAAGGTCAGTGCTGGCCGTGAGGAGCACACTTCCAGTCTTCAGCAGCTTGTAAGAGAACTTCTTGGTAGCTGAGGCCACGTTGGGTTGCTGGGGAAGAAGGGGGTTGTGAGTGGGCAGGCTAGCCCTCCTCAGCCTAGGATGCCAGCCTGGCTGCCCCTGACCTCGATGTCAGGAATGCTGTTCAAGTTCAGGGGGTTAAGGATGTAGAACACGCACGTGCACTTGTGGTCCCTGGAGAAGCGGGATGTGTGATGGCAGCCCTGCCCCTCACCTCAATGTCAGGAATGCTGTTCAAGTTCAGGGGGCTGAGGATGTAGAACACACGTGTGCACTTGTGGTCCTTGGAGAAGCGGGATGTGTCGATGGTAGCACGCACCTGGTGTACAATCTTCCCAAAAGGCCCCTCAAAGGACGTGGGTGCTGTAGCTGGGGGCGAGGGCACACACTGGCACCAGGCAGCCTGCTGCTCTGCAGGCCCCCTGCCAGAACCCACCGCATCACAAGAGACCCCTGGCCAGGCTGGGAGCTCACCAGGAAGCAGGAACTGGAAGGGGAAGTTGTGCTCTCCAGCAGGTAGGTTCCCTGCAGAGATGGGACAGAAGTGTGGCAGGGAAGGGCCACCAGCACAGCCCAGCCCTTCCACCTAGCCTCCCAGGGCAGGACAGCAGACAGGTGCCAGCCATGCCCCAGGGCATGAGATAAGGTTGGCCCAGGACAGAGAGGAGAACTTGCTTCAACAGGACAGGAGGGGGCGCAGCCAACCTTCACCAGGGTTCAGAGCCCTGAAATGGAATGGCCAGCTGCTTTGGAGTCCACACCTCTAATCTGGCTCCATAGGAAGCTGTATCTGCAACCAAACTCACCTTTGTCGGCCAGCGACAGGGAGCTGTTGAAGTATCCCTCCTCTGCCACCCACGTGGCATCGTTAACCTTGTTGGAAACCCCACAGGATCCAGTGCAGGTCACTCGGATGGCTGAAACAGAGTGGAGTGAGAGTAACAGTCATGACCTCTGCCTGCCAGCTGGCTCCCTCCCCATCACAGCGCATAATGTAGGAAGCACTTGGAGTGAGTAGGGGTGGCAAGGGACCTGGGAGGCAGTCACATGTGTCCTGCAGTCGAGGGCAGGAGGGTCCTGGACAGTTGCCTCGCGGGTCACTTGCTGCCTGATGGTCCTGCCTCCCAGTCCCGCTGCTGGTCGTTCAACCAGCAAAAAACCTAACTGCCCAACCCGACCTTCATGCTGTGTCCCAGGCAGGAGTCAGTGAGGGGAAGCCACAGCCCATCCCCTGCTGTTGGAATGTGGTCAGACCTGCCTGGGTAGATAGATGCTGGTGCTCAGGCCCTTACCCTGACTTAAGGCCAGTATTACCCAGAATGCCATTCTCCACCTCAGCCCTCCCTTGCCAGGAGGGTAAAAGGCTGGAGCTGTTCCCTGCTGGTACCACTGCCTTGTGGTCAGGACCAGCAGGTGTGTGCCAAGGTCCACTGTGGTCAACTGGCCAAGGCTGGACAAGGAAGAACAGACTCAGCAGACCTGTAGATAGACCCATGGGCCAGGGTACAGTCACGGGGTCCACTGTGGGGTGTGGTCACTCCACCCACCTTCTCCAGACAGAGCTGAGTCAAGGCCAGAGGTTCCAGCCTTCCTACTTCCTCATCTCTGCCACTCAACTGACATGACAGATCACTTTAGAGAAAGGGGACAAGACTCTGACACCATCCTGAAGGCATTACCACGCAGGAGGACACTAGCGTCCCAAGGACCAGGGGTCAGTCACATCTGCCTTCCATCAGCCTCCTTGCCAGGCCCCCTGGCCACCCAGGCCTCCTGTAGACCACCATCTCAGCTTCTTCCCCCTGGGCTGTCCTCAGGTCCCAGATAGTTCTCCACTACAGCATCCAAGACCCTCCCAAAGAGGGACCCTTACTTCCCACTGACCCCTACACCCCTGGGGTGCTGCTGGGACAAAGCTGGGCCCCTCACCAGCCTGGTCCTGATACTGAACCTCAAATTTTATTTCAGATCACCACTGTACAACTGTCCCCCCAGGCCCAGACCTGGACTTGTCCCCTGTGGAAAGGTGAAGCAGCAGGCCACGCTAACAAACCAAGAGCCCAGGAGAAAAACAATGGGCACAAGTGGGCAACTCTGAAGGAGATATGAACTGGAGATGCCACCCACCTAGACAGTCCCCCACCGAGACAGCACATCCTCTTCACCTGCTGGAGCCATGGAGGCTGACCCAGGGCCAGCATACAGTCCACACACAGCTGAAAAGCTACCAGCCCCTCTGTTCAAATGCCTGACCCACACCATCTTGAGAACGTGACAGAGTCATTCCAGGCCTCCTGGCTTCAGGATGACTCTACCGCAGTATTGAGGCAGGAGTTCAGTCTCTTTGGGAATTAAGGAAAATGCAAATGACTTACCACATCAGCCCATTTGGTTGGTAAAAACTCACTATCTGACAAGTGTTAGAGGACATAGAAGTGCCCGTGCACTGCACCCAATGTGGCTGGAGCTCTGCAGAAGGCTGGGCAGATATCCCACATCCAGCAGATCACAGCTACTCACTCCAAACCACACACTAATGTAAGTGCTGCAAGCCCAGGCACAGGCAGCTGCCCACTCCCAGCATCAGGCGAATAAGCCATGGGCGCCTGGCTCCAGGAAAACCAGCCAAGGGTCCCACCTTGTACAGTAGGGGCCTTGGGGATAGTGGAGGGTGGAGGGCACAGAAGTTCTGCTGGTTCCGTTTATTTGGAAGAGTCAGGAGGCCTCCATCAACCCATCATCTTTTTTCCCTCCCCAAACTATTGGATTAGGTAGGTCCCATGATGTGGTTCCATCAAGAAGTGAAGGGGGCTTTCAGAGGAATTTGGGGTGTTTTTACTCTTAGGAGAAGACACAGACTTTGGGGACTACCTGTGATGGGAGGGGCTACTGAATCCTTTCTGGGATAAAAGAATCAGTTTGTCTGTCAACGACGGTGGCAGGTGGTGGAGGAAATCAGGCAAAGACCACAATCAAGTGTTTCCGAATGCTCAGCCTGGTGGGCAGTTAATGCTTCGAAGTCTCAGACAACCTCTGTCCTCCTGATGTTAAAGTCACTCTACAGCCCTGTGCTCCCTCCCACACACCCCACAAAAGGAGGTAAGCACCTAAGGAAGAAGAACAGGGCCTCATAGCCACAGAAGGAAGCCAGGAGTGTTCCAACTCCAGGGCCACCAGCCCTCAGCACCCACACATGGCAGGAGAAGATGGCAGAGCGTGCAGGCTGCGCCAGAACAGCTGAGCTTAAAAGAGGGCCCCAGGAAGTTCTGGTGGCTTAGTGGCAGGAAGCTGAACTGCAATCCCAGAGGTGAGCAGTTCAAATTCACCAGATGCTTTGCTAGAAAAGGAGGGGAACCTCCTCCTGTACCGGTCAGATCTAACTTGACTGCACACACACAAAAATAATAAAATTAAATTAAAAAAAAAAAGAGGGCCCCAAACCATACAGGGCCACCACATAACTGCCCAACAGCCAGGTGTCCTGGCTGGAAATCCCACAGCTTTTCCCAGAGGTTTACTGCGGCTCAGGCTCTTGATGCTGCTTGTATTGCTGATTTAACTCCTGGGACACCTCCTGCCTGTGCAGAAGCCACCGCTGCTGGCTCAGTGCTACCAGCACCTGCTCCCTGTCTTCTTCCCAAAGCCTCTCGGTCACTCTCCCAAACCTATGACACCCCAGCCACACCCTCCCACTAACACTATGGTCTTTGGTCTTCTTTACTCTCACTTGCCTCCCCCTCCCCCGTGTCCATGTCCACCAGAAAGACATGTGTATAATGGTATAATATGAAAACTGTGTCATGATCCCCAAAGACTTGATAAACCAAGTAGTTGTCAAAGGACTAGGGGTGGAATATAACACCCCAATCTCATCATAGCCCTAAGAGATGCAAAGGAAATCCCCCTAAGCAGCACCTTTTCCCACACTAGAGATAAACAGGAAATGGAGCTAAGGCCAGATCTCAACACCACCAAGGTCAAAGGCCAGGAGGGGAATGTGCCCATGTGTCCTAGACTTGAGTCCCTACATGAGGATACTCCTTGACACCAGGGAAGGTCTCACAAGAACAGCAGGCCTACAGATGCTGAAGAGAACTGAGAGAGGGGGCCTTCCCCTATGGCTGGCACCCTGGCTCTGAACCTCTGGTCTCCTCACCTAACAGACAATAAGTTCTGTTCACAGCAGCCATGCACTGATGGTATCTCTGTTCTAGCAGCATGCTAGAGAACTAAGACAGCACAGTATCCCAAGCTCCATGATCAGGGTAATGATCTCCTGGGCAGTATGCAGAGTGGACAGATACACCTGACCACAGGGAGAACTCGGGTATGCCAGTGGTGCTGGGAGCATCCTCTCATTTACCCTGAATGACAGGATGCAGGACCTGAGTAGACTCACTCACTCAACAAGCATTTAGTGAACAAACGTGAGGCTGTATGCAGGCTTGGGGTCCCCTCCCTGACATATTTCCCGAGTGGAGGAATTTAAGGTCACTTGGTTGACTCACAGCTTACAGGTATCTTAAAAATAAAGAACTGGGCAGCTCTCCCCTTTCCACTGAGAGGCACTGAAGGAACTCAAGTGTGACCCTGTACAGATGCTCTTGGGCCTTCACAGCAGGAGGAAAGGCTTTCTGGCCAGATCGGGGTCCATGTCCTCCTCCCACACTGAGGCCACTGCCTGCTACTACAGCTTCCTATGGCGGCAGGTAATTCACCACCTCCCCTGCAGTCGGCCAGGAGCCGCCCACTCCCACACCACTTGGCAGGCTGTGCGGATGCCCAGCGGGCAGCAGTCCCACTACAGTTCCCACCCAAATCCCCCACTCCAGCTGAGGAATGGTTTAAGAAGGCATCAGAGAAAAGTACAGGGCTGGGAGCCCACACAGCGGCTGGTGCTCCAAGAGGTTCTGAGCACAAGCCAGGGTGAGGAGAGCCATGCAAGGCACTGCTAAAGACTTGTCCCAGGAGGCAGCACCCCTGCCTTACCTGCCCTCAGGGTGGGTGGAGGACCAAGGCCAGCACGTCTGAGAGGCCTAGCAGAGGCCTTCACAGAAATCTGATCTCTGGTCCCTGAGTCCCAGATCTCTGTGGAAGAGACAGCCGGGCCCCAGGACTGGCCAGGAGGGCTCAGCTTCAGCTTCCTGGTGCCAGGCTGGGCCGGCGCTGAGGGGGAGGTGCACGGGATATGGAGCTCGCAGCAGGCAGGGAAATGTGGGCAGAAGTCAAAGAGGGCTCGGGGTTGCTAGGGGCTGCACCTTCGGCAGGGCTGTCCTGGAGAGGGGGCCTGAGCAGAATCACAGGACACGGGAGTGCGGGGCAGCGATCTGGATTCTAGGTGATGAAGACCAGCAGGTGTGGGTCGGGATACCGGAGGAGCCCCGACAAGGAAACTCTGGCAGACAAGCATCAGAGTGACCTGAGGCTAGCGGGCCAGTGTCAGAACCAGCTGCTCTCGCCACCCCTAGGCAACTGGGAAAGGAAGGAGCGGCTGGGTGCTGGACTTCCCCGCCCCGCCCGGCTGAAACCTGGAGGTCTGTGCTCGGGGCTGGTGGGCCACACCCCGCTTCCTCAATGCGGGGGGCCAAGACCCTGTCCTGCAGCCCAGGCCCGCCGACCGGTCCACAGGTCCAGGGCCTGGCGCGAGGCGCGCCCGCACCCCGCGTCCCCAGGAACAGGGGCTGCCGCAGCTTCCGGGATGCCAGTGCTCCGCCCTCCCGCCTATTCAGGTACCCGGCGCGGCCAGCTGAAGCTGCCTCGCCGCTCCTTCGAGGGGACCCCGAGACCCTCAGCCCGCGCCCACCTCGGAAGGGCAGAGGTGCGCCCAGGCGCACGCAAACGGTTCCGACCAGCGGCTCTCCCGGGCTGTAGACGACGCGGCCCTGGCTCAACCGGATCTCGAAGAGCTGCAGGCGCCCCATGCCGCGAGCCCTCCCCGGGCGGCCGCGCACTGACGCCCGCCACCAGGCA